GACGTAATAATCTAAAATATAAACTGTTTTTATTTTTTTATTTTTAATGGGCCAGAAGCCCAACCCAGTTGCTAACGGCCCAACCCTGAGCCCAATAGAAGCCTAATGAGCCCATCCCAACCTGACAATCTCATAAACTTTTATGGTTTGGTTTCAGGTTCATAGAGAAAGTGGGTTGGGACGCGAAGCTTGTGAATGAATCATACCCATGGATCGAGAACCAGATTGTTCACCGCCCCAAGCTCACGCCATGGCAGAGAGCTTTCAGAGACAGTCTTTTGGATGTTGGCGTCTCGCCTTTCAATGGCTTCACCTACGATCATCTCTATGGCACCAAATTTGGCGGCACCATCTTCGACCGTTTCGGCCGCCGTCACACCGCCGCCGAACTTTTGGCCACTGCTGACCCCCACAAGCTTACCGTCTTGGTTTATGCCACTGTCCTCAATATTGTATTTGATACCACAGGTATGTTGAGCCGCATTGCACACAAACTGATTGTCAAAATGCCGGGGAATCCTCTGTTTGCTATATTAAGTGTTTGTGGACTCATTTTCTTTTTAATTAGAAGCTTTGGCCCACAATTTTATATCTATTTAGCTCCTACTTGGTTGTGCTCATTGAGTTCTTTGTTCATATACTTCTGATGATAGCTTCTGGTTTGCCATTTATTAACATAGGAACCTGTTATTTAGTAGAGACTGACAGTTGAGAGACTGAACTTGATCTATATAATTCTGTCTTTCCATGTAGTCTTGGTTAAATTCCAAAAGAAAATGAAGAGTATTGTGTGGATTTGAAAAGAAACTATGTTATTTATAAACGTTGAAATAGTGAACAAAATAACTTCAAAATTGAAGTGAATCTGTGTAAATGATTTGTGCAGGAAAGCAACCAAAGGCAGTGGGAGTGATCTTTAAGGATGAAAATGGGAATAGACATGAAGCAGTTCTAAGAAACAGGCGGCAGAGTGAGGTTATCTTATCTTCTGGAGCACTTGGGTCACCTCAAATGTTGCTGCTGAGTGGAATTGGGCCAAGAGCAGATCTTGAAAAGTTGAACATATCAGTGGTGCTTGACAATGAGTTTGTTGGGAAAGGCATGGCTGATAATCCTATGAACACTGTTTTTGTTCCCACCAACAGACCCATTAAGAAATCACTTATACAGACTGTTGGGATTACTAAGTTTGGTGTCTACATTGAATCTAGCAGTGGCTTTGGCCAGTCTTCGGATAGCATTCGATGCAACCACGGGATGATGTCTGCTGAAGTAAGCTACCTTTCTTATATTCCTGATTTCATCATTTTATTTTCTAGTCATTAGGACCAATCATTCATATATTGACATCTTAATGATCTACAAGTATTAACAGCCGTGATTCGTTACATGTTTCAAAGAACAGAATGCCAAAAGCATAAGTACCTCAGAAAAATAAATGAAATTGTTGCAATCTTTTCGAACCGTGTTCTGGGAGACACATGAAACAAGCTATTTAAGTCATGAAATCAATGATATATTGATTACTTAATGAGAAGTTGGTAACTATTCTAGTGGTTTTACGATGATTTGAATTTGTTATGTAACCAGATTGGGCAACTATCCACCATTCCTCCAAAGCAAAGAACCTGGGAAGCCGCCCAAGCTTACATCAAAACGAAGCGCAATTTACCTCAAGAGGCATTCTGGGGAGGTTTCATTCTCGAAAAGATTGCCGATCCCTTATCGACAGGGCAACTTACCTTGGCTAACACCAATGTTGATGACAACCCAACCGTGACCTTCAACTACTTCAACCACCCATATGATCTTCACCGGTGCGTTGATGGCATTCGCATGGCAGCAAAAGTTGTGCAGTCAAAACACTTCACAGATTTCACAAAAAACACTAGGGAAACCATTGAGAAGTTACTTAATGCAACTGTGAAGGCCAATGTCAATCTCATTCCAAAGCATACCAATGACACGAAGTCTTTAGAGCAGTTCTGCAGAGACACTGTGATCTCAATTTGGCATTACCATGGAGGGTGCCATGTAGGCAAGGTAGTGAGCCCCGATTACAAGGTCCTCGGCGTTTCCCGTCTCCGTGTTGTTGATGGATCAACCTTTAGCGAATCTCCTGGAACCAATCCTCAAGCCACTGTCATGATGATGGGAAGGTAAGGGTAAAAATCAGTTCATTTGCTCATTAGAAATTTAGACTAGAATCCTAAGCAACAAAGTTAGGCATACACATCAAGGATCATGAAATAGTAACTTTACTTGTACTGCAGGTACATGGGGCTGAAGATTTTGAAGGATAGACTGGGACAGGGAGCTGATCTATAGGCGGCGTGTCTGCACTCCGGTATGGCAGATATCGCAATAGGCGTGTGTCGAGTTTCTATTGTGAAAATGTAATTATGTCATCTCATCTTCCTATCTATCTAAGTAGTTAAAATTGTAGGATCTTGGCTTGCTTGGTTTGGGCAATGCATACAAGGTTTTATCCCATATAAACTTCTAAACATTCCAAGCCTGCTTCTAGATATGTCATCATTTTTGTTTCTTCTTTGAAATCTGATATCTATTAGGACATGCATATTTGGACAATTTTACAACCATTTATAATAGAAGGGTACTATTTTGATCTGAAGAGAATTGTGGATAAAGAAAGACAAGTGATTTTAGAACAAAAAGTCATTCCAGTGAAGACGATCTAAACAGACAAATGCCACACAGAACAAAACCTTGTACAGCCTCTTACAGCTTTCCATTCCTATTTTGCTTACATATTTAAACAATATCTTGTCCAGGTTACGATGCAATCCCCATATCTGTCATTCATTTTAATGCTACTTTAGCAAGTAAAAACAATGTACTTCCAGGATTATTGACATCCATATAGGCCACTTGTTCTTGTCTTTTCAAGGTACCATCTTGCCAAATTTGGCATTATTTTGGTTTGTGCACTCGAAGGCTAGCAAATCTACGAGTCCCAACGAAAAGAATAAAGAGTTTAGAAGTCTTTGGAAGTAAAGCCATGGTGAGCGCTTACTTAAAATTTAGTATGATTGAGGAAATGTAGTGGGTGTTAGAAATTACGAACCTTCACAATTGTATGATATTGTCCATTTTGAACGTAAACTCTCGTGACTTTGTTTTTAGTTGCACCAAAAGGTCTCGATCCAATGAAAATGTGCTTACAAACCAATGATTAACTTCTTAACTAGAACAGTAGGGTCAAAGAATTATCTGGTCGTGTGCATGCATGTCTTTTTCTTTTTGAATGGTAGTGAGGGAACAATAATATTCCAAGTTCATTTTTATTACCATTTTTGAAAATTTTATAATATAATTTATCTTACAGGCTGGACACATCCGTTGAATATTCAAAAAAACTCTTTTGACTTTGGAAAAATAAATACAAAAAATATCTTTAATTTAATTGGTTTAGATCCGCACCCATTGGTAGGTATGAATATGTAACTGAAAGTCTGAATTTAAGAATATCAAGTTTTAATTTTTAAAAACAAACAAACGCCTATGAATTATTTGACCAATTAAAATAATAAGAACAATAATATATATTTTTTTAAATCCAAAATAATGTATTAATAAATGATGGGTTGGTATATGAATGAAAAGAATATGATTAATTTTAATTTATATATAATTGTGCATTTGGTGCGAAAATCAAAAGGGTAAATCTGGAAATTGAGTTAAAGTGTGGCACGTGTCTCGCACGCTCCGGTTAATTAGGGAGTGAGAGGGTGAGGTGGAGCCATCTGTGTTTGGTTGACTTTCACTCTCTACGCGTTTCCTTTCCTTTAATCCAACTCCCAATCTCTCAAATATTTCAATTTTCTTTTCAAAAAATAACCTTATACTATAAATAATTCAAATTACCTAAATGACCCTATCATTTACATAATTTTAAAATTTTCAATTTAGTTTCATAAATTTTAAAATTATAAAAATTATTAAAGAAAATTATATAGAAATTTTAGAAAAAAACATATATATAGTTTTATTTTAAAATTGTTACTAATAATTATAAAAATTATTAGATAATAGCATTATAATTTCAAACCATTTCAAGAAAAAAAAAATCTTCAATTTTAAATTAGATTTTTCAATTTGATATAAAACTTTAATGCTATTTATTTATTTATTTTAATATTTTCAATTTATATTAAACGTTTATAGTATATCTTATAATAAAATATTCTACTAAATTCAAATATTAAAACTCAATAGTTCAATAGTAATCAAAGCAATTTATAATATATATATATATTCTCAAAAAATAATTTTCATCGAATTTAATTACATTTCAGGGATGAGCTCTCTAGAAAGTTTCAAACAATTCATAATAAATTGTCTTTTTGCAAGGAATGGTTGTTAAATTTCACAATTTTTATTTTTAAAAATACCCCACCTATTTTATAATTTAAACTTTAAAATGTTTTATATTTAATTTTTAAAAACATTTTTTTTTATTAATCTTTATTTTATAACCGCTAAAAGTTGTTGGTGACCATGGGACAACCGGACAAATGACATTATATATTAAAAACCCAATAATAATTAAAGCCCAAAAGTATTAAAAAATATAAATATATATAATGTTTTAAACATGTACAAATTAACTAAATATGAATATAAAATATTATTGAAATTATTTTACATTTTTTTATTGCGTAATATTCACTCACCTAATGCATGTCTCAAACTAAGTTATTAACATGTTGACAATTATTTAAAATTGTATTATTTATTTAATTAATTTGAAAGTTTAATGACATAAAAAAAACCTTGATATTAATTAAAAAGATGGAAAAAAATACAGAAAATAAATAAATAAATGGCACAAATTAAACCCAATTAATATGTAAAATCTCACAAATTTCTATGTTTTATTTAAAATTAATTAATTTTTTATTTATCATATTCTCTCATCTTTTTTTTTTCTCTCTCTCTAAAATTGGTTGAAAAAGGCAGAAGACGTCTTTTTAAAAACCCTTCTTTAAAATCCCATTTTGATTTCACTGAAATAAATCCATCATCTCCCAAATTCCCTTCTCCATCCCCAATGACGGACAGAGTCCACCCTAACGCCGCCGCCGCTGCCGCTGCCACTAACGGCGCTCCGGCGGCCAAGACCGCTCCATTTCCAGCCACCAAGTCCCAACTCTACGGCGCTAGCCGCCCTGCTTACCGTCCTCAGCCATACCACCGCCGACGCCGCAGCCGCAGTTGCTGCTGCTCTGTCTGCCTCTGGTTATCCCTAATTCTCATCCTCCTAATCTTCCTCCTCGCCGTTGCCTCCGCCGTCGTTTACCTAATCTACCGCCCTCAGAGGCCGTCCTTCTCCGTCTCCGCCGTGAAACTCTCCCATTTCAACATCACTTCCTCTTCACTCCTCAATTCGAAGTTCGATCTCAACGTCTCCGCCAGAAACCCTAACAAAAAACTCGTGTTCACTTACAATCCGGTCTCGATTTCAATCTTCTCCAACGAAATCGATGTCGGCGACGGAGTAATTCCTGGATTTGTGCACAATACGAAGAACACCACTCTGTTGAAGACCTCGATTATCAGCAACCGCCAACAACTCGATAGCTCGTCGGTGAGCACCTTGAAGAGTAGTATGAAGAGCAAGAAAGGCTTGCCGTTACAAATTCAACTCGATACAAAGGTGAAATTGAAGATGGGAGCACTCAAGAGCCCTAAAATCGGAATCAGAGTTTCTTGCGACGGAATCTCGGTAACCGTTCCCACCGGTAAATCTCCGGCCACCGCCTCAACTTCAGGCGCAAAATGTAAGGTCGATCTTAGAGTGAAGATCTGGAAATGGACCATCTAAAAACAGAAGAGAAGAAAATTTGAAGAACACGAAGAACACAGAAGAAGAAGAAAAAGGTCTCCGGTTTTATTTTATTATCATTACTCTTTTTTCTTTTGTATTTTTCATTTCCCGAAAATTTAATTTTCGCTTTAGAATATTTTGTAAATGGAATTAAGTCTGATGATTTAGTTGTGCGTAAGAATTTGATTTTTTTTCTTTTTAATTATCAATAATTATATATATAATTTGAAATATTTTGATTGGAGGCAATTTTAGGACATTTAATTAAAATAATTAATCAAGAAAATAATTATACTTTGCATTACCAATATTACCCTTCCGACCTACCATAATACTAAGATTCAAATTTCGATTTACATTACTAATGTTTCTAAAACAATTTTTTTAGCATTATTTCGATAATTTGACGATTAATTTGAATAATTTATGAAAACGAGCTAGAGAGAGAAATTGGAGAGAGAGAGAGAGAGAGAGGGGATTAAGAGAGGGAAATAGAGTGGACTCAGCTTTCAAAAGGAGAGGTTGAAATGTCATATTCTAAATTTTGTTGTGTAATGGAATATAATTAAATAAAGAAATTTTGTTATGTATTGAGCTATTATTATTAATATGGAATATAACACAAATACTTTTTAAATATATTATTATTATTCCCTCTATAAACAATTACGTCGGTGGACTCCCTTTTATTTACTTTTCTTTTTCTTTCTTTTATTTTAATTATTGTCCTTCGTTTTCCTTTTTTACCATTTCGTCCCTTTCCAACTCAAAATAGGGTTACAATCCAACCCAACCAAACTTCTAAGATTATTACTAATATTAAGAATATTTGATATTTGGATTATTACTCTAATGTAAATAAGTATGATTTTTTAAAAATAATTTAAAAAACAATCGGACAACCAAATTCAACCCGATTATGAGCTTTATTCGAGTTGTTTGTGTCACCAACCTTACGAACTCTAAATTTTGGGTTAGTCCAAAAAAAAAATTTCAAACTCAACCTGACCAGTGTAACTAGGAGTTATCCCATCTGCTTTAACCACCAAATCCACGTGAACCTACATTAGACACAAAACAAAAAAATCAAATATAAATGTAAAAAATAGTGTTAAATTTGTAATTTAACGAAATATATTTTATATACTTATATTTTAATAATGTCGGTCAACTATACTTAATAATTATCGGATAAAATTTGACCATTAGTGTCGATTAATATTAATAACCCAACAATTTATTAAGATTATATTCCATAATTTATACATGAAATAAAATTAAAACTAAAGCCAATGGCTATTTTTGTAATTCTATCATTAAATTCTAACCAATTATTTTTAACTTCTCAAACTGTTTTTTTTTTTTTTTTTTTTTTTTAATTTTACAAATAAAAATAATTTCCATTGTATAAAAAAAGAATGTGGCACATGTGGTATCTGTAACATCCAACATGCTTGCATCATTAGCATGGTTGATTGGATCACATGCATCAGATCTCTCTTTTTATTATTTTCTATAAAAACAAATATATATATAAATATAAGAGGAAAAAAAATCTTCAACTTTCATATAATATAATGTATTAATCATAATATAAATAACCCTCAGAGTATGTTTTAACTTTACATGGAACATATGAAAATATACATAAATGCATGCACTCGTGACAGATACTATTGTTACTCGTGTCACTTGTGATAAGTTCACTAAAAGAAAATTAACTGACAAATTCCCTAACAATTACCATAAAGTACAGTTATAAATTAAAAGCTAGTTCTATAGCTATTCGAACCTCGAAAATTGAGGTAGGTTTATGATTAGGGGTTAGTTGACCAACCCTATTCATTCTCATATAACCATATAAAAATTTCTTGCATGGATAAAGTTCAAACAACTTTTAAGGTACTATTGTGAGCCCCTGTCCTTCGTGACAAATTCACTCAAAGGGAATTAATCGAAAAATTGCCTAATAATCCTTACGGAGTACAATCATAAATCATAAGTCATAAGCTAATTCTAGCGTTATTCAGACCATTGACATTCAAGTCAAGTTTATGATTAGAGTCTAGTTGACGAAACCTTAATCACTCTTGTATAACCATATGAAAATTACAAGCATGGTCAAATCATGAATAGAGACCTAAATATGGATATCTAATCATAGTTTCAGTTCGTTCATTCTTGGAAATGTACATCTTGTTAGGCTTCCTATAACACGCTTTTTAAAGTTCGGAAGTACCACTTACTTAGATATATGCAAAACTCTTAAAAAATGTCCTACATTGAGAAAAACTATGAACTGATAAAATCGGAGCAAAAATCATAGTCAAAATGGCTAAACCACGCGAGATAGGAAATTTCGATTCAGCTGGCCGAACCGACCGGTCCAACTGAACCAGACCGACCGCTTTCAAGGTTATGTGTTGATATCATTTCGTGGGCCTAAACATGTGGGCTGGCCCATCTAAACTCACATCAAATTCATGGGGCTTAATGTCAATTGGCCCAATTATAAAAATGATTTAGGGTTCGTTGGAAATTATTTTTCAAGTGCTTATTTATTTTTATTATTTTTTGAGAGCTAAAAAAAAAATGATTTTAAACACTTCGAAATATAATTTCTTGAATATGGTAAATACTCGGCTGCTTTATCGAGACGAAACCTCGATAATGTAATGAATACGAAGGTGAAGAAACAAAATGATGATGATGTTTACGATTTTGTAAAGTATTTTTTTTAGTAAGTTTGTACTAAAATCTTCCAAAAGCCTGCCATATATGTTTCTCTCTCTTTTTTAAGTTATAAATATTTACACGTGAAAATCTCGTTTTAAAACTGTGAAGCTGATGAAGATATGTAATGGGTCAAAGTGAACAATATCCATTAGAGGTGAGTTTGGACTGTGTCTCCAAAGGTAGTGGGTTGTGAGATCTCACATCAATTAGAAAGGCAAACGAAACATTTCATATAAGAATGTGGAAACCTCACTAAGTCTCCAAGGGGTAAATTGTGAGATCCCACACCAATTAAGAGGGGAACAAAGCATTACTTATAAAGGTGTGGAAGCCTCTATGTAACAGCTCAACTACACCATTGGCAGATATTGTTTCTTTAGGCTTTTCCTTTTGGGCGAGAGGTTTCCACGCCCTTATAAAGAGTGTTTTGTTCTCCTCCCTAACCGATGTAGAATCTCACATTCTCCCTAACATATGTGTTTTAAAACCGTGAAAATGTTACAATATAAAACAAACAATAAGATATTGTTCTTTACTTACAAATTCATGATATACATTAGCAGACTCACGGTTGTGTGCATACATAATATGAGGCCCTCACGGTTGTGTCTGCTACTCTCAGTATATCCCCACACTCTCACATGGACCAAACAAACACACACCAAAAAGGGACAAATAAATAAATAAATAAAAGTCAGAATATTATAGTAAGTGGCAAACATTTATATCAGAGAATGGTATGTTTGTCTATTCTCATCTTCATCATTTTCTTCAAAACCCAAACCTTTATTGTCTCTTTTCAAACTTTTTATCACTTCGGAACTGGGAAAATATTGAGGGCCCTTCATTCTTAATTACATATATTCGTTCTTCGTTCTCGTTCAATTATTAATTGAAACGACCCGTTTTTAGCTAGTAAATTAATGTTTTATCTAAGTAGATCATGTTTCTTATATTTACATCCGTATAATGTCATTTCTCACTAATTAATATTGATTTTTACTATAACATCAACTTAAAAGCATCTGGGTCGATTGATTATTTTGTATTATCGACTGAATTAAAGTCGAATTAATGTATGATTGAGTGTTGTTTGTTAACCCTTCTTTTTGCCAAAGTGGTTCCTTCACTCCCCCACTATATAATACCATTCATTTTTTAAAATTTATATTAGAAAAGGTGACAATCTCTCACATAACCCACTAATTAATTCTTTATATAATTATTTTACCATAAAGTTCCCTCCAATATATAGAATCCACTTTTTCTCATCATACCCTAATTATCACATTCTTGCATGGCTCTTATCCCTTTACTCTCTCTCTCTCCCCTTTTATATTTTTAGATAAAGTATTAAAAAAATATCAACTTTAAAAGGGTTTAAATTAAAAAGCTTCGAAAATATTTTTATTATCCGTCTTACGTTCTAAAAATATTCATAAATTTTTAAAAGTAACACTAAAAAATTTGGAGATAATCTATGAGATATCGCATTTTCGACGTAGAGAGATGGTACCTTGGGATTTGTTCCCATCTGCAGCCACATAAGGTATGAAACAGCATCTCTCTGTTTTGGCTTTTGGTTATCCAAAAAGAAGCCTTAACTTGTACCCTCCTTTGCCCATCAAGATTCTTTTCATTCATTCAAGAATCCTATGCTTTCATTTTCTCTCCCCTTTATAACTTTATAACTTATAATTTCATATACTAACAACTTTTCTTCTTCTTCTATTTGTTAATGTGCAAAGATTTAGCTCATAAAGATTTAGTGGAGACTCGGTATACCTCAATCATAATCGACATGTATTATCTCTTTTAAGGTCAGAAGTTTATATCCTCTTACTCCTTCGTACTAAAACGTAGCAAAATAATAAAATTTATGAATCTAGCTAGGGTTTCTCATCTTCCAAAAGGGCTTTTCTTTAATCATACATAGGAAATTAAGAAATCCCAAATATGGGTTTGACTTTAGTTCCATTTATAAAGACCCAAATTTACCACTAGCAGATATTTTTTTCTCTCGGGCTTTCTCTCAAGGTTTTTAAAACGCATCTATTAAAAAGAGATTTCCACACCCTTATAAAGGGTGTTTCCTTCTCCGGGATCTTACACCATTCATACGAAGGAATCCACTAAGAATTATACATTGAAATATGTATATAAACATAAATACAAAAGCATATAGAATATTATGATCCAAAAATTCCTAATTCAACAAGTGGTGGTCCTTCACCCTTGTAGAAAAAAGAAAAAACAAAACAAAAATGCATTTCATATATAATTTAAACACAAATGAGCTAACCTTGCCAGCCGGGT